GCTAAACTAATGTATTTTCCCTTTATAAATTGATTTTTGTGGTCGCTTTGTTCTTGGTTTTGTCTGTTACAAGTTATACTTTTGACTGGGAGCAAAAATTGAGGGGTCACTTGCCGGTACAACTGTTGCAATTTCAACATGAAGAACGATACAATGCGTTTGTTCGCGTCTGGTTGTTATGCCTGTAAGTACGTGGTGCCAATACATTATATGGACCCGTCCTACATGCGGCGCATCGCCATATTCGATCTTAACGGGGATCGCGATGCAGTAACGGATGCTGAGTGGATCGCGTGGCTTTGCGCGGCGCTTGATGAAGAACACGAAGAATCGGAAGTACTGAAGAAGCGCCTGACTATCGGCATCCAATTCAACATGAAGTTACTGGACGTCCACTGTGCTCCTGCTCTGTCGCAGTTTGGCTTGCTTCAGCTGTTGAAGTCTCGTGTCGGTCGTATGCTCGACGACCTCATGCGTGTGCTGGAACAAGACAACCAGGAATGGGTGATTAATCAAGAGTCGAAAGTTGCCGTCGAAGTCATTGACAAGGCTCTCAAGCCAGAAGCCCTCAAGACTGCCGTACAGAAGCAGTTATAACTCCAGCGCAACAAGGGGTTGAAAAGTCATGTTTTTCGTTTGTGAAGTGACTTTGTTATTATGCTGCGGGTTACCAATTCTACGTGATTGTCGAGCAAGTCCCTATGAAATGCAATAACTCGAAGAGTGATTCGAAAAATGCACCAGCACCGGCAGCGGCGGTGGAAAAACCGATGAAAAGGATGTCGCTCCGGCGAAAACAGATGATGGTGAGTCCAAGGACAAAAGACCGGCAAGAAAGTAGAACGGCAGTCGAAGTTCGGTGGCACTAACCATCGCGTTGCTGAATGCCCAAGAATTGCGTCTGGAAATGCGGATCGTAACGTCTGCACGATGCTCAACTCAAGAAGTGGCGTGACGGGATTTCTGTCCTGGGTAACACATCTGTTCGCCTACCGACCGATCGAGGCGTCACAGTGATAGCGCTCGTTCGGATCGAAAACGTCTTGTTCGACTCGAGTGCCTTCGTTAACGTTGTTACTCGCGGCGTCATTCACGTGTTTGCCGCAAATGTGCGCAAGTATGATGACTGCAGAGCATAAAACAGCTTGGCTGGCCTACATCCGAGTTTTCAAGAAACATCTTCGTCTCCTTGGAAGCGTGGATATAGTCTATAGTCTGTTGGAACAAAGCAATCTGGTCTTCGAGACACTCTTGCACTTCGTTCAAAAACGGGAACAGATACGTTACGTCTTCAGCATCTTGCAAATCTTCCCCGAGTTTTGTCGTTCTTCAAGGAATGCGGTGTCAGACGTCCCGCTCAGGCTCATGGCACCCCAACCTTAACGCTGCCTCCTTCGCTGACCCGCTTCGAGAACTATTTTTTGTCATCACGGAGGTCACGCCAGTATGCGAGGTATTCATCCGGGTCGTCCAAGTTGAACTTGTTTTCGTCTGAGAAGACAACTTGACGCCAAAAATCCAGAGCTTCGCCATGTGATTTGCAGAGAACGCTCGACACCCCTTCTTGTAATGCGGCTTCAGATACGGTGCCGGCTTCTTCTTTGCGTATTTAATTAATTTGCATGATCTCATTACACCAATTTGTTTCCATTTTGAATGCCTCTTTTGACATTTAAGAAATTTTAAATGCAGTGCGCATATGAATATTTCCGATGCTTCAAACCGGATCAGTTCAACCATACTCCTATATGTTCGCAATTTCAAACGCACCGACTGTATTGTACTGGAGAAATTGCTCTTGGAGATATACCCTTAGTGGGAAACAATCTCCGAAGTCTTGGTGTATTTTTCTGTCATTAATATCGCTATACACTGAAGATTTCAATGTGCGCATATGATTATTTCGTGCAGTGTAACCGTATGGCGTCAAGTCAGTGCCGCTGCGTATGAAGTGGAGCATCAAGTTAAGTACAGTCGTGCAGGAGACAACATGTGGTCCATTGACGTTACGAGGTCTCCACTGCTGGATGGATGACGCGTCGCCTGAGATCGGACATTTCACTGTTATGGAGTTGATCGGACTCTCCGTGGTCGCTTTGCTCGTCGTATATCCGAAGATCAAGGATGTCTTTGTTCTCAACTAGCTCGATGATTACCGGTGTCTTCATGTGGCCTAGTTGTGGACATCGTTGGAAAGTTTACACAGCAATGTGGTTGAACGTACCCAGAAACTCCCTTTACAAGCATGCCAAAGACTAAGCAAGAAATGTCAGGTCAATATTGACAACTTTACCGTCGACGATTTTTTGTTGGTCGGTTCAATTGTCCAACACTCCCAAAGTTTGCCATCAAGTGGCGCGATCCATTTTAAGTCATGCCTGGGAACTCGTTTTCCTGGAACTCGACTTGGACGCTGGTCACCATTTTCTGTTGTTCCAAGTCGTACAGCTTGTATGCCTTCTGGGCCTCAGCGTAGATAGTGATGCATTTGGTGGCCTTGGGTGCGAGCTTTTCTCTTTTCTCAGGATCCTTGAACATGTTGTAAATGATGCATCCAAACACGCGAAGTTTGTCCAGGCGGTCACGGTGTCCCGTGAAGGCCTCGATCGTGGTGGTGGTGGACGTTAAGCCGTGGGGCACCCTGTTCTGGATGAACACTGCGGTGTTCACTGCCTCTGCCCATCATCGGTTGGCGAGGCCGGCATGGGACATCATTGTCATTGCCATGTCCATGATGGAACAGTGAGCTCGTTCAGCCGTTCCATTTGCGTTAGTTTACTGCTGTAGACTTTTCGTGGGTGATGCATCAGGTCTTCAGCGCCTCGTTGAAGTTTTGGCAGGAATACTCCGGCCCGCCGCCAGATCGGAAGACCTTGATCTTGTAGCCAGTTTGGACCTCCGACCGGGACTTCAACTTGGCGAAGTCTTCCAGTTGGGTGGCAGAGTCCATTGACTTAACGAACCATACAACTATCATGCCTGATCCAACATCGAGGTAAACAGTATAGTTCCGGCATCCTCCGACTGACTCGGTCCGCGTAGGGCTTTCGTGTCAAACACCCAACACTCCCCTAGGCAGAGCGACCGTGTGCGCTCCTTGTGAGGTGAAATCCTGGTGATCTTGTTCTTGACACAGCACTCATATTTCGTCTTTAGTTCGGGCAGTCCCTTCGGTGTACGGCGTCGCTGCAACTCCTGCGCAAATGATCAGGTGGATGAACAACAAGCTGCAGACACACTAGGTGGCATTCGTCGCTCGTTTCTATGCCCCCAATCGAGCCTTCGATCTCCTCGCAGCTTCGAACAAGAGGATATCTATGACCGCGGTCAAGTACACAATACGCGGGCAATAATAGAAATGGCAGGCTGGGTGGAACGCGTGGTCGATGAGATAGAATCCAACCGCTCCGGCGGCTAAACTACGATAAACATAGCCATGCGCACAATCTCGACACCGCCTCCCGAGCTTGAGCTCATAACCAACGGGAGAGGGAAGTACATTCCACACGACCACGAGACCACCACCCTTGCTCTCGATGACCTCGAAATTGCTTGCTCAGCGATGCATACTTAGTCCGGATGATCCAAATCACAACGAAGTCATGCCTGTTCCAAAGGTCACAGGTCGTTCGCGCAGGTAGAGAGACAAATACGAGTGAATTATGTAAGAAAGAATAATGGATGCCTCGGAATGAAGTTGATGAATATGGACCAGATCACGTCTCTTGGATACTGAACTTCGGACGTCTCTTGGGATACGCTGCGTACTTGACATCGTCGGACCAACCTCGATCAGGCTTTGCCGACACTTGACTCACCTGTCCAACATTCCCCTTGAGGCAAGGTCATCCCAGTCTTCTCGAGGAATTCCCACAACGCCACAGCGTTACTGATTTTGGTCATTACATCTGTAAGCCTCGCCTTGGTTTCCAAATACACGAACTTGATTGCGTTCGTCTGCACAGGTCACGTACGAAGTGATGGCGTACATCAATATGCTTGGACTTGTATTTTGGTCACTCGATGTTTGCTGAGTTGGATTGCCCCTTGGTTGTCTGCTGGACAAACTGTTGTACGTTGGAGTGACCCAACTTCTTCCTGGACTCCCCGCAAAAA